TTACGTTTATTCTTACGGAGCTGAACTCGTATCCGCTAAGCAATCACTTTGATAACAGCGTGTGAATGCTGGCTACGCACGTGGGGCCTACGTAATGGCGCACACGAGAGCGGTATCGTAAGACGTGCGGTGCTCTTCCACAGCAATCTAGGAAGATGAGGTGTCCAGGTTCATTTCAGTGCCACCTGTTAGCTATGTACAACAAGAAAAAAATGATAGTAGCTACGCGATTACGCCTTTAACCAACTATTAAAAAAATGAGGGAAACGAGGCACGTAACTGTATGTGCAAAAATAATGTACTTAATTGACGAAAAGAGAAAAAGAAAAGAATTTCCAGAGATCAAAATTATGTCATGAATCAAGCATATAGTTAGGCCAAAGAAAACGTGGACAGAAAAGGTAATTATTGTCTTTAATTATATGCACTAATTGTGACGCGAATTGGAATAACTTGACGTGGACGAATGGACAAAAATTACCTTTCCCGTGAATATGATCTGAAGCAACAACCTGTGAATTACGTGCCGTATGTTCAGCCAATCAAGTTACGAGATAAGGCGCTTCCCCATCCAATTAGTCAGATACTTCTGTGCACGCAATGCCTTGGAATGGTAGCTAGCACCGTACGCAGCTCAGGTGCTGAGTGTGGGACACTCTTTTCTGCCAGAAGGCGTCACGGGAAAATGCACTTCGCAGCGCTGTTGTCGTTTCTTTGTCTTGTAACCTGTCAAAAGTTTGCGGGTTTTTTTTCGTCTTTTTTGTTCTTGTTTGTTTTCGCTGCACTTAGACGCTCTTTTGTATTTGTTATACGAACTCCGGATGACGCGAGCACAGCGCAGAACTCCATAGTGGGCATAGTGGCAATGCTATTATACTGTGTCTCTTTTATATTCGATGCTTAAAAGTCGCACACCTTCAAGCTGATAGCGGTGCTTCACTGTGACGGGGTGACTCTTGCGCTTCCGTTGTGTGCCCACCATCTTAAAGTGTAAACAAATAAACGCGTGCACATACAACGTGCGAACCTCTTCACTGTGTGCAACTCCGCTCTTCGACAGCGGATGCGTGCGCAAATTGGGTTTCAGTTCGCATTTCGAAAAAAAAAAATGTGAAGAAAGGCTTTGGCGCTATTCTTGAAAAATGAAAGCTTCTTGAAAAAAAAATTATACAATTTCAAGAACAGCGCTCGGCTTCTACCAAATATGATAACGCAAGCATGTAATAAAAATAGGTGATTATTACGGTGGTAGTTGTCGGTGAATCGTGCGTTAAGGATGGATGACATGACGACGACGATGATGATGTTGAGAATGTTGCTCAGCTGCTGCTGATGCTGAAAAAAATTGTGATGCCGATGGTTTGATGTGGCAGGACGTCGGCGGTGGTGATACAAATGGTAAATGACGACGGCGCGGTGAAATGAAACGCAAATTAAGAAAAAAAAATATCTGCGTAAATTGTTACCCAATCTTCCAGTGTTGGTACGAGCCATGTTAAAAGGTTCTTACGGTACCATGAAAGATGGCAGGCGTAAAGGTCTACGCGAACCATTACCAGTCAGGCTAGTTATCTTTCGCGTGTGTGCCTGATTGACAGGTAACCGGAAGCCCCAACAGAGTACAGCTTGTACGAGCGTTAATTAAACGCACCTGCTGATTCATCTCTGCCTGTCCGTTGTCCCCTGTTCCTCCTTCCTGCTCGGCAGAGTAGAGCACTTGAAACACGTAAGAGAGAGACATAAAGAAAAAAAGGAAGATATATAAAAAAAGAGAAATATCCAATGGAGAGATATAGAAGTAGCAAGAAATAGAAAGTAGAGAGAAGAACAGGGAATAAAAATATAAAAAAATATAAAGACAGGAGCAGCGAAAGACAGAAAGAAAGAGAGAAACAAACAAAAGAAAGGGAAAGAAGCCGAGAGATAGAAAGTAGTAGACAAAAGGAGGAAGCGACAAATGAATAGAAAGAGCGAAAAAGAGAAAGAAATATATATGAGAAGAAAGAAGGAAATAGAAACAGGTACGATAAATAGACAAACAGAGAAAGTGAAGAAATACAGAAAAAAGTAAAGAGAAACAAAGAAAGAGGTACAATTCTGATCTTCCTTCAGTACTGGCATCAATAGTGCGAAGGTGGCGTAATTTTTTTTTGTGCACGCTTTCTTTTTCACCGCAGCAAACCTTTTCAGTTGATATTTGGCGTTTATGTTGCATGGACTTCCCCTCTTGTGTCCCTGTCAGCACGTCTTCCTTCTTCGGCTATTAGGGAACATCATTAATTAGTGCGATGATACACATAATCAGACGGTGCTGCTGTATCAATACAGTATTTTCGTTGCCATTGAATTTAGAAAGAAGTAAAGACAGCAAGTATAACTGAACGTTGTTCGCTTTCAATTCGGTTACATAATTTTACACATATACTTCAAATATAATACTATGAAACTGACCTAGATTTAAACAAATTACCCTAATGTCAGCTGCAGTGATTGTCATTGAATTTCTGTCTCTCAGTCTGTTCTTCCTTAAGAGCACCTTATAGTTTACTCACTAGACGCATTATATGTTCTTTTAATTTAACGTCTTATTCGCTTGATGTGGGTGACCAATGTATGTGACAAAAAATAGGTGTGTGGATGTTCTCGCAGAAACACCCCATGATAGTCCCGTAATTTTTTTTTTTTGTATTACGTACGCTGGCGTTTTTTTATGTAGTGCGTTTTGAAAAGTTCGCCATGTCCGATAACTTTGCTAATTCTTCTTTGTTTGTACCAAGTTCCTTCATCTTAATTATTCCTGGAAGTCTCGATTGCGCTCAACTAGGGGGCGGAAATATACATTACCATATTTTAAGATGCAGAGTCCCCCATCCCCCTCCCCCTAAAAAAGGAAAGAGAGAAAAATCTGGACTTTTACCTTCGCAGGACTGATTTAGCTTAGCCACCTTGGTGCCTTTATTTCAATGCGAGTGATTCCCTGCATAATTTATTTTCAACATACCATCATGTCATCGGTGCACAAGCCAACGAAAAATGTGACGATGTCCTCCGAAAGATGAGCTTAAATTTGTCACTGCCGCTGGAATGCCTTTTGGCGCGGCCGTATTGGGTTTTACCCACGGAAACGTGTGCGATGCCACGAGTGATTTACTGTATGTGAGACAAAAAGACGAGTATGTTAAGGCTGCCTCACTCTGATTTATTTTCAATTTTCTTCGCTTATTGTTATTTTTGATGCTTATATATCATTAATGATTTATTTTCCAAACTACTATTCCTAAACCTATTCACATCATAAACAAGGTACCACGTATTTCATGGCGCGCTTTAATTAAGTTGCGCCAGGATACTGAGAAAGGGCAAACCATCCAGCTGAGTGTGTGTTGGTATACGAATCCAAACATCAGGATTTATTGCTATAGAAGTCTCTGACTACGAAAAACGTGGATAAGTGTTGAACACACACACACACACACACACACACACACACCACACACACACACACACACACACACACACACACACACACCACACACACACACACACACACACACACACACACACACACACACACACACCACACACACACACCACACAACACACACACACACACACACACACCACACACACACCACACACACACACACACACACCCACACACACACACAACACACACACACACACACACACACACACACACACACACACACACACACACACACACACACACACACACACACCACACACACACCACACACACACACACACACACACACACACACGCACGCACACACACACACACAAGCGAGTAGTGGGGTGTGTGTGTGTGTGCAAGCACGCGCGCACACACACGGACAGAGAGAGAGAGAGAGAGATAGAGAGAGAAAGGGATACACTTTTTTAAAACAAAAGTAAGACCATTAAGCATTTTAAGTCGTTCTTCTATTACAAATAAAATCATATTTTTATGCAAAAAAAAGTGACAGCACAGCATGATCGTCCCCTAATGGATCAAACTGGAATATGCAGAGATTCTTAGTTAGTTTAGTTTAAAATACACTACAGTATAACACATTTTTTCTCGTATGAGTAAAGCACAATTTCATAATCCATAAAACACCATGCACTCTTGCCACAATACGACCTTTGGTAATGCGAGAAAACGTACGAAAAGAAGGTGAGGGTGGAGACACCGCCTTGAAATTTTCCCACCAAACACCTTCATGTCATAAACTGTGAAGGTATCCACAGAGTCCTACAAAGCCTCTAATCGATAAAATTGAAGTACATTGTGATTTGGCGGTGACATAGACATAGCATACGAAGTTCTGGAACTTCGTATGATATGTTTCATTGAGCCAATATCGTGAAAAAAAATTCATTTTTCGAAGTTTTTGACGTCACGTGCGGAGATTTCGGTGCGCAACTTGAAAATGAAAATTTAACCTTTTCCGCTAATAAAGAACTTATAAAAGTGAAAGATAAGGCATTAGCTAGAGCTCTAAGTGGAGTTTAGCTAATCAAATTTTTAGTATCCTTTTAGTGGTAGCTTGTACAACATCTGAGTGACGACTTTAGCTAACATGGCGATTTTCGCTCTTACGAAAATTATGTTAGTGCGGCGCTCGATTATCATTTAAATATAAAACAAAAGAACAACAACGTCAGCATCTAAGAAAATAAATAAAGAAAACGGCGCTGACTGAAGTTGGAAGCTTCGATCACTGGTCGATTATTGCAGGCAATGCTTTTAGTTATTTATATTATGTTCCCGAGTCCTCGAGCACGCTGCACCTTTACATTTGTACGGAGGAGTAGAATAGGAGAAATAAACTTACCAGAGATGGGAGTAGCGTTGCTGCGTTGGTAGCGTTGACTGCGTCGTAAAGCTGCAATTGTACTTGTGGCGCCATCGTTTGGCTGTTAGCAATAACTGGCTGCTAGTGCTGTGACGGCGCTACGGTAGCTAGCGCTAGTTCTGCTCGTGCACCGAAACAGCGCCTTCTCCCAGAAAATCCATCCTTGCACAGTGCGTCGTTGCGCAGTGTGTTGTGGCGGTGCAGCCTTTCTGTGATTTCACTTTTGTCGTGGTATGCTTCACTCTGCGTGCCGCTGGTGCTAGTCAGGTGGTTCCCAGTAAGCATAATTTTCCTCATACGTTCGTTGCATTCTGCGACCCGTTCTCGATCTTGTTCTTGCAGTCGCACTGCCCGGACATCTTGACCATAAGAACGGCGTCGGAGTCCAAGTTGCCGTCTTTAACGTCAAAACAGGACACATCCGATAAATCTGCGATGACGACACAACCATCCAAGTCGTCGACGGAAACGGTGTCGGTAAGCTACGGCATATCATACTTACATGTGTACTTGAGTCCAAGTTGCCGTCTTTAACGTCAAAACAGGACACATCCGATAAATCTGCGATGACGACACAACCATCCAAGTCGTCGACGGAAACGGTGTCGGTAAGCTAAGGCATATTATACTTACGTGTGTACTTGCGTTTCTTTTTTCAGTGCAACCAGCTCTAGCTGACTTCGTTCTGCGCAAGCAGCGTCTGAATGCATCGAAACATATTGTTCTAATAAAATTACGTGCACAAAACGAACAGAATTGCGAAGCGTACACCAATACCGGCGATTGTACGTTGCTTGACTCGTGTTAAAATCTGAAGTAGTGCATCTGTAGATCTATTTCTGGACGTCGGACAATGGTACGATTGATGGTACCCAATTCTATCGTTGCGCTACAACTGTTTTGTTTTTCTCGGTACATGTTCGTCAAATCGAAAGTTCAGCCTTCACCTGTTTGGCTGCTGCACTTTCACAAGTTACAACCACGTGGTATCTAGGGAGAGTGCGTCTGCGTTCATTTACCGGACACCGCCGTCAAACCGTGAATGAAACCCGACGCATGTTTTGTGTGCCCGCAGTCGCTGGAAGTCTGACTTAATCAAATAACGTTATTTTGCATATGCATGTATGATTGATCCTTCATGCTGTCTAACAAAGTATCTGAAATTGTTGTGCGTAATTGTCGGCGTGTTGGCATGAAGTAGGAACTAGCAATCGAGGAGTGCGCATCAGTCCGTTCCCATACGCCTTCTGCGTACTCGCTGACGCTGTCTCTGGGTGATGCGCAATACCGATTAACACGGTCAGTGCCGACCCCGTTTTTTTTTTTTTCGATTTTGATAAGCCCTTTCTCGCAAACTGAGTAGAGAGGCAATCATTTTCGAGAAGTTCAATGACGACCCACAGTGCTACACTGATACTACCCCATCCTCTTAGGACAACCACTATACCTGAATGGTCTCTACTCTGAAGTTTCCCAGTAACTCCCTACCGTAGCTCATGCTGACAAGCCGATCGTGGTCGATTGATTTGATTCGTATTAGTTTCGATCGCGGTTTAAAGTGATTATGTTACATATTAATTTAAAGATTACACGCTAAACGTTCGCTTCTTTTTTGCTTGTTAACACAGCCCAGCAGCAAGGTGTTCCATTACGGCATTGAGGAAGTACCCTTTCAGCAGGAACTAAAGTCCATTATTGAAGAGATTCGTTTTGCTGTGGCCGATGTGGGCTTGTCCACACTTCCGTCAGATGAACTGGCCAGCTACTTCAACTTACAGACAAAAGAGGACAAGCGGATGTGCATCATGATGTCACGTCAAGGGTTCCAAGTCGTCGGCAATGACTACGACGTTCGGGACATTGAAGACGGACAGTGTTTTGAGACAGTCAACGCTCTGCTCGACTCCATAAGCCCCACTTACCGGCGTCTTTTTAGTGAAGCGTTGACAAAGAAACTGCAGGAACTGCAGAAAGACAATGAGAGCACTGACGAAATGTTAGCAGGCAGCACCAACAAATAAGTTGTTGCCACAAGGCAAGCTTTTCAGCACTTACCTGTGCCAACTGAACCATTTTTTAATTACGAAAGACTACAACCTTGGTGCTGAGTTGCAAGTGGTGCATTTGTGCCAACCAGTGTTTTAAGTGTGTTCTAGTCATTTCAGAATCTCGCCCGCAGATATATTTTCGAATGCTGCTTGACACATTCCGGGCAATATAAATGCGAAGTAAACTATTTGCTAACCCATGATAACTTTACATGTGTAAGATGCTTATTTTGTTATTTAAAGTGCAACTACATCATATAATTTGGAGTTTGCGTGCTTAGTGACCTTTTGTGCAGCTGGTTAAGATGTGCAAGAAGCAACTTGATGACTAACAGTGCTCATTTTTATGCCAGCATTTCATATTTTATATAATTGCTTGTCTGCATAAATTAGCAAATTCTGCAATTAAACAAGCAGCACCTGTTTTCTGATGCAGCAACCATTCAAAATTCAAAACCATTCAAGCATTAAGAATTGTCTCTTGAAATAAAAACCTTCAATGACAGACTCCTGATACAGGGAACATGTACGCACAACATTTATTGACACTTAAAATCTCTCAATATATGTATATATAATATTTATATATTTATATATAATATTTATATGTGAGTTTTGTGAAACAAACCCTGAGGATCTTATCCTTTCTTCAAACTTTGTACAGAGAAGTGATGAACACATGGACATGTTAAATGAAGTGGAATATCTTGCCTTGCACTTGTGTATGTGTTCTAGCTTGCAGAAACTGCATGCTGCTGTGCTCTTGCAAGAAGATAACAAATTGAAAACACCGGGCTTTCTCGTGTTTCAGCCTCACTGAGAATGGTATGTTCCTGACACTGAATTCTAAGAGACATGTTGAAGCGTTAACCAGACAACCTCACATTGCTGATGCTACGGCACATGAAAATATAATTGCTGCTCCCATAAATGCACTGTACACAGCAAGTTCATTCTCACTGGGTGCACCAGATTTGGACAGGGTCTGCAGCAAGTTGAGGTGCAGCTAGTGACAAGTGGCGACGCATGGCTACCGATTCTGTCCAATAAAAGAGGCACAACAGGAGGAAAATGCAAACTCTAGTAGGCAACTATAGTTACAGTGAGCAAGGTGCGTGTTGCAGTCTCCGTACTTCGCGAGTGTTGAGCCTTGGCGAAATGGCTGGGGCAACAATTGACAAATAGTGATTGCAATGCCTGAAAAGTGGTGGGCACAGAAAGGGGGCGTGAATGGGGGTGGTTCCTTAATGTAGAATGTGTGTTTGTGCAAAATGGGTCTAAAAAACTGGTATTGCTGATGAAGCATTTGTGTCGATTTCCCAGCATCTGGTACTGGGTGTGCTGCTTGCAATTTGAGTGCCTTCGAGGCCAACAAGCTGCCACCTTGAGAGGGCCAGCTGCCTTTTGACCGATGCAAAAGAAACAGTGGCATGGTTTTTGTTTCCTTCGTAAAGCACAGCACCATGTGACACTTGCCAGGTGGCGACAAGCACGTGGACACTTAGGTGAAAGAATGGGAGACATAAATTCATAATATACACAGTATGTACAGGGCATTATAAATAACAATGGGCGATGGTGACTGAAATCATCTGGAGGGTGGCAAGTAAGTGACGCGACCTTATTGAAGGGACAATTGTGCCTACCCTCCAGTCTCTTCTCTGGCAAATCACTGAGAACAGAATAATAAGAGTACTAACAACAACAAGCACCAGGACGTCCCTAAAAAGCAAGTGCTGCAAATGAGTACTAGCACATGGCATGGCTTCTCGTCGCATAGCCAGAGCTAAAGCAGTCCAAGACCAGCAGGTGTCCCAGACTTGCTTGCTTTCTTCTGTGGCTTGGTCCCACCGCTGTGACTCCTTGGCAAACGGTACAGGCCGGTCGCATGTGGCATCATGGGAGTAGCAGTGCCGCAAGTGCAACCGCTTGTCTGGAATGCAGTGGTGAGGGAGTGGGTGTGTGCTCCTGGTGCAAGGAAGTTTAACAACACTGGTGGCATGGACGTCTGTTCTCTGCTGACCCCCCCCACCCCACAATGCAGGGAGGAGAGGGCAAAGTGTTTTGATTTCTAGGGCATAGCACAGGGAAGTGCATTGGCTCCTGGCTAGTGTTGGCCTAGCCATTCTGACTTGTTGAACTAGTGGCTTTTCCTAGTTGCCTGTGATCACTCGTGCTCTGAAAAGAGAAAGGCAAGCACCAGATTCTTCAAAAGCTGAAACAAGTCTATGTAACCACTTATGCTCACAGTGAGGCAGTCAAATGGAACTCTCGATATTGGTCTGCAGTGACAAACACTCAATGTCACGATTGAGAACACATGTTTGAATTCTGAGACAGATTTCCTTTACTCATCACGATACCAAGAGAAAGGCAAACTTACAATCTCTTCGCATAACTTGTCGAACTGGGAAGTGCAAAGTGCGAGTTTATTTATTTATTTATTTATTGGCACTGCAATCCCCTGGAGGGATTTTAGCAGGTGGGTACAAAAGACATAACATCAGCATATAACATCAAGCAAACAGATGGAACAGCCTATCACATTTCACATAGTAGGCAGCCATGTAACACAAAGCAAACAACTATCACTTGCGTTTTACAGCGCAAACAAATGTAACCAAATTCTACCAATTTCACATCACTCTCATTTTAAGACTATAAAACTATCACACAAGTAAAATGATTTTCTCTGTTTTTCCAGACTAGCGGCAAAGGATGTTAAAGACTATGTTGTAACTTTATGGTTATTTAAACTATTCCAATCCTGCACAGTTCTAGGGAGTAAAGAATATTTGAAGCAGTTATTGCAGGTACAGAAGGGAGTTATTGTATAATTGTGTTGTTGTCTAGTGGTGTAACCTGAAGAAAATGAAAATTTTTCCGATATCTATCTTGTAATGCCCGTTAATTATTTGATATAAATATTTTAATTGGGATATGCGGTTTATTTCTGAAAGTGAATGTAAGTTAGCTCTTACTAACAATTCATTTACCGAGGTTCGTCCGTAACTTTCATATATGAAGCGAACGGCTCTTCTTTGTACTTTTTCCACTTTACGAATGTGAGTTTGAGTAAATGGATCACAGAATTTCGTGAGCAAAGGTTGTAAAGAATTGCCATTAAAAACAAATACATGTCACATGCTTTGTGCCCAAGTACAGTGGAACCTCATTGACACGAACTTGCATACGTTTTAGACCATAGCGATGTCCTCACTTAGAGAGAGTGGGTCAAAGCCACTGCCACACCATTGATTCCTATTGGGTGGACGAGCATTTTGTTTACGAGAGCAGGTGACACTACGCATTGATGCTGCATTAGGTTCGTCGCCAAGTACACCTCTTTTCATATTCTCTTAGATTGCTTGGAATATGTATGTAATACAATTTGTGGGTAGTGCAATTTTTTTTACAGAGAAAGCTGTTATGAGATGAAAACTCGGGTCACGCAATGTCGTAGCTGTCTGTCACCACTGCCAGTGTTCCTAACACATCGCATGAAAGAAAAAAAAAAAAACCTAGTACCAGTGACACAGTGGGGCTCGAACTCGGGTCCTCTGGGTGCCAGCCCAGTATTGTACCACTGAGCCACGCCGGTGCTTAGGGCTTATTGGTAAACTTGCCTTAGGCTTGATGTCGGGAAAGCAATCGCGTTAATACGACTTATGAAACCTTTTAAAACAGCGAAAACACAACCAGTCATTGCACAATGTGAACAGCATAATGAGGGGTCGTCCAATGCTCCAACCCATTACAAAAGCTTGTTCTTGTTCACTTATCAACTGTGGCATATACCTACTTCAGGCACAATTCCTCATCGTCATCAGCCACTGCATGAACAATTGGCAAAAAATTCCTTGCAAGTGTTTAGCAGATACCACGCTTCCCAAAGAATGACGAAAAATAGTATAGCGAATGCCAGCCTACTAGACAAAGTTTTATTATTAATGCCGTAGTGGTGATCAAGCAAGTGTGCTTGCAGCAGTTATCCAACTAGTTTTTAGAAAAGACTCTGAAAGGCCTTCTAGCTTTCTAGGTCATTGTGCTGCACCTTCAGTGCAGGCCTGGCGTTCTTTCAGTGCTTGTGAGAAATTGCATCAACAAGATTTCACTGTAAACTCTGATTATGGCTTACTTTTTCCTAAGTACTTATACAGTTTGTCAGACAGCTTGTTATTTTTTTCTTTGAGCCATTTAGATCCTAATCTTTAAAATGGATGAATATTCTTGCCCTAGTAAATCTTTCAACTCACTATTCTAAAATAGGCTTGGAATGGCACATTACAGCCTAACACCTATCATTGCAACCACTTCCCCCTGGGTCGCTATCACGCATGCTCCTCTCATGTTAAAATCACTCTTTGAAATGTCTAGCACATCCATAATGTGCAAGCTAGATCTTTGAGATGCTATGTTGGGCTACACTGTTCTTAGGATTGGCCCATATATTTGTCAGTGGAGCAAGATGTAGCTTGAAAGTGGGTAAAAATGTTCAATTAAAATGTGAGAAAATAGTATACAATAACCAACAGGCAAAGAAGTAATTCTGGACAGCTGGGGCACAGCCTGCCTGCTGTATCCCATCTACGTATAGTATGCCATTTTTCATAGAATTTTATGTATAATATCTTCCATTCACGTAGCTTAACCAAACTAAGCACATACAAAGTATAGATAGCAGATGTGTACCTTCAATCTTTTCCAAGCACCGCAGCACTTCCTTTTCAAGTTTCTCATCCTCGAAAAGGTCCAGTGAAGAAGCACTGTTGGCATACCGTCGCCTGCATATGTCACTGACTCTTTCCCAGTACATCTTGTTGTTGTCCACAGCTTCTGCAGTTTCTCGCGCAGCTGGGAACATCTCGCCCAGCAGGCTGTGCAAGACAACACAGTCGCCTCTTGAGATCATTGGTAAATGCTACCACAAGAACAAATCAACTTGAATTTTCCTTGTTTACGAGCTCCTTGAAGTATTTATTCAGTGGGGATGAGAGAAGTAAGGTTGAAAAAAGGTGCCTTGCTTCACACTTTGCTGCATTGCAGCAGTTGACCAATGACAACACCTTTAGCTAAGTTTACAGACACAACATTAGGCATGAAATGGTTTCAGCAGGCAGTGACAACCATGTTTCAAACAAGTGTCTGCAGTATCTCGGTAAAACATGATACACAGAAGAGATTGTATCATAATACGCTAATTAGCTCGAGTGAAAATCCTGCTCTATTAAGATGGTTTGCAGGATCCAAAGAAATATGGCCTTGGCAGTCTAACAACGCTGATCCAGTTTGAGGACAAGAACTACAGCTGTCCACTCACAACATTTACTACGTGCTATCAGAAACGTAGCCAGAATTTTTTTTTTTTTTGTGGATGTGTGTGTGAGGGGGGGGGGGGGGGGTGACCATACCTTATGTATGTTTGCATGTG